ACACTTCTTTAATCCATTTTATCTTATAATTTGTATATTAAAAAATTATAGAAATTATATATTAATAATCTATATGTTAAGACAAATCAAACAAGATCACACATGACTATATTTAGGCTTACACATTGAGAAAATTTGATGAGTCAAAGTACTTAGATGAACAGTTCCAAAAGTCAAAACTGGACGAATACTCCGGGACGGAGGAAGTAGTATAAAAACAAATTTATTAGATTTAACTTGTTGAGAGTTTTCAAATTTTTACTCTCTCTGTCCACCATAGATCTTTTTGAAAACTATTCACATGGTCAAACCCTTTGTTTGCTTATTTTTACTACTCATACTATAAAATAATATAGTCTTGTCACTCCATTTTTGTAAAACTTTTTGTGTAGTTTATCACTATATAAATTTTAGATTAAAATTTTATCTCTATATTCAAATAAATTGAATTCAAATTAAAGTTGGTCAAACCTCGTAACGCGCAATGAAAAGATCGTAGGTGGACGGAGAGAGTATTTTATTGTACAATACAAAGGGAGAGTTATTGATTATTAAAGTCCATCTAGTTTAACTTGAAAATTCCAAACATGACGAATACGTTGGGACGGGAAAACATGAGTTTTCTCACTTCTTTTAATTATTAAAATACAATTTTTGGGCAGAAAATCTTTACAGGGTGCCTTTGATTCTCTAGTATAAACTCGCAAGTCTCACATTTTTTGAGATATACTTCGAGGTACCTTTAATTTTCTAATAAGAGCTCATAGATCCCACATTATCTAAAATACATTCTTGGGTTCCTTAAAATTTGTGCAATGTACTTTGAGGTAGATTTTATCCATTGGGCATTTATTTGGGCCGTTATGATTGAAAGTTTGTTACTTTGACAACTCAATCACCAAAAAATTATTCCGAAGTAACTCATGCTTTCTACTAAGAGCTCACATGTCTCAATGGACAAAATGTACCCTTAACATTGCCATAAATTTTAAGGACCTGAAGTGTATTTCAAACAATGTAAAACTTGAAAGTTTTTACTAGAAAATAGAAGATTTTTTCGAATATATTTTAAATAATGTAAAATCTTCGAGTTATTACCAAAAAATTGAAAGTGTATTGAACTAATTTTCTAAATTTGTGGGACAATAGTGTTGGATAATGAAACGCTTATGTGAAGGGTGCTTTATGATCAAATTCCTTTATTCAAATTTGACAAATTGTTATTTGATCTTTAATATATTTATTTTATAGACTTTAGTACATAAATAATACCACTCCCTCCGTCCTAATTTGAATGGAAAAAAGATTAAAATATGAGTAAAATATTAAAAATATATCAAAATAGGAGTTCTATGTTTTTATTCTCGAAATATACTTAAAATGTATTTACAGTGTCAATCATGACTATATTCATTATCAAAAAGTATTGTCAAATTCTATACGCAATGCCACATTACCACAATCTAAACTCCTATTTTGGATACAAGAACATGTAATTCCTATTTTGGTATTTTTTATGATTTATTCATATTTAGGGTGATTTTTAATTTAAATTGTCTATTTCGGTTTGCAATGTTTCGCCAAATTTATTTTCAAATCATTTTATATGAAAAATGGTGTAGAAATAAAAAAATAAAAATTTAATTTTTAAAAATTACATCAAAAGATCTACTAAACTAGTGATGATATGATTATATTATTTTATCAAATGATTAATCAAAATAGGAAAAGGAAATGAATAAAGTTTAACCATGTGAATGGGACGGATGGAGTATGTAAGACGTGACGTTTTTCAAAGTAGGAGTCATACGTCTTTCAAGACCAAAATAGGAGTCCTCACTGTCATTGTTACACTGTCGCACTCACCACATTGTTACATTGTAACTGCCACACTATCACCGCCACACTGTCATCTGTCGTAGTCGGCTACTAGAATGCCACCATGGATCACCGGTGGTTGATTGATCACACTGATATATTACACTATCACCACTTTTCCATAACACTATCAACGCATACTTTTACATACACCACGCTTACACGCTACCATTGTACTCCTATTTTGCTTTTAAAAAAATGTATGATTTCTATTTTTATATTTTCATATTTTTTTACTTCTATCTAAAGAGATTTCTTATTTAAAAAAAGAACCACTTATAAATCGATGAAAGCTATAAGAAGTTTAACTTTTCACCATTTTAAGTATTTTTAGTAGTCAGTATTATTTTTGAGTTTATTGGCTAGATAACTAATCTTATCTTTTGGTAAAGTTGGTGAGCAATTTTGAATTTGATCTGTTTACTCTTAGGACTTGGGAGTCTTAGCCATACCGTAGTCAGTTCACTTGAAACTCCAATTTTTTTTTGAAAAAGCACACATAAAAAATATGAATTCAAGTTTGAATACACTGAATCATGAATGAATACTATAGGGACATCAATTCACTCCAACTAATCATTCCCATAATCAAATGGTTGAGCAAGAAAATGAGAAACCTGATTTGCTAATCTTCTAACAGCTGGCAGTGTGAAAAAATCAAAGTTTCGCATCACCGTCTTACAATTAGAAACAATCCCGATAAAATAAGAAAAGTTATCTATATCACTTGGGATTGCGTTGAAGGCAACCTCACTACCAATTTCTATCATTAGTTCACGTTGTGCAAAGGAGAGCCTCGCATAATCCACTTGCTTCAGCCATCTGTGCATCTTCAAGTTGACCAAGCCCGAGGCGTGCCCCCGTAAAAAGCCTCAAAGCGCATCTCGCACCACCATCCCAACCCGTGCTACCTTGGTTTGCTGATTGAAGCTCGTATCAACATTACATTAAGTCCACCCTCACTCGGATCATGACATGCTATTCCTCGGCGGTCCAACCCGCCTTCGTTCCTCTGTCGCTCCCTTCAGGCCGGTTATTTGCCATTCAGGCAGCTCCCGTTGGCTGCTACCGTTCTCGGAACCATATGCTTTGGCTGCTACTCTATTTAAATCCTCTTTTTTCAAACTTACATTTTATTTTATTTTTACCAAAATCTTCTAATTTCTTTTAGATTTTTCCATTTTCTTTAAACATTTTCTAGTTTTTTCAACTTTTTTCATTTATTCAAGCTCTTAATAGTTCCTTAAACCATAACTCTAACAACAACAACAATAACAACAACAACAACAACAACAATAATAATAATAATAATAATAATAATAATAATAAACAATAATATCTAATGGTTCTTCTGACCTTAGGTAAAAAGACATTCAAATGACATATGGCACATACGGTGTCCCGTTGATAAAATTCATGGTTTCTACAGGACAACTCCCTTCCCCCCTAATAGTATCCTAAATTGTACACCCTAAATATGTACCTTCATTTTGTGCCAGTGTGATGCTAAGGGGATAATTTACACAGGTACAAAATAATAGTACGTTTTTGTTATCGCACTAGCATATTATGTCAGTGTGAATCATTAAAATGTGAGTGCATAGGTTTGGTGCGTGTACGTTTTGGGGTATATCACGTGGGGTATCTTTAGCATGGTTAGTTGTTCTAAGTCTGACCTAAAGGTATTGGAGAAAGAATTTAATTGGGATATCAGGGCCATGGGGACTAAATATTTCCATTAGCTAGGGTTACAATATAAGTACGAGAGTCTGATACACACTGTAAAATATGATAAGGTCTCTACTAGACCGGTGTGGAAAACACCAATTGAGATAGTAAACTACAGAATATAATTGATCAGGATTCTAGTCAGATCTAGAACTAACAATTTGTCTTAGCCTAAAATAGGTTATTAGCAAAGATAATGGCAGATAAATAACGATTAATCACATATATATTGTTGATATTGTGTTAGCGTGAACCATCAAAATATGAGTGCATAGCTTTGGTTAATAAGTGAGCATTTTGTTTTTTTAAAGCCCCAATTCTTAAATTGTTCTTCCATGAGGCTATTTGTTATGGGGTTTGACGGAAGTGGTATGTCCCTTCCTCAAGCCTCTTCACGCCTACTCCACCGTGCCACATTTGCCGTGATGGGGTGTTGCCCTTTTGTGAGTGATAGTCATCTCGCCGTGAAGGCAGGTTCATCTTTTTTGTTTCAACGAATCAAAATAATCTACATCTTCACCACATCACTTCTTTGTCACATCCTTTTTTCAAGCCCCACAACACATATATTTTTATTATTATATGTCATATTTCTTCATACTCCGTCAAGTTCTCGTCAATTTCGTCATAACACATGGTCTGTTCCTAAGGTCCACATTTGAAATGTGGACCTTCTCACAGTTTTAACATGTTGACAAATAGTTTTTTTTGTAAAAGACACCATTCTCTTATGATATAAATACAATTAGGTCCATAAAATTAGCATGAACCTTGAGACCATATAAGAATTTGCCTCAGTTCTTTTATAATATCAATGTACTAAAGTCTATAAAATGAACATAAATTTTAGAACTAAAAATTTGCCTATCGTTAAATACCCGATCACTGCTTCAGAGCTGAGTGTGTAGTCTCTTGTCTTTGATTGCACACACGTAAGAATAAAGTTAGAGCCATATTTAAGAGGTATCAAGGAGGAGGTGATGTATGGATGCATATTTGTTGAAAGTTTAATTAAGTTACTTCAAATAACATGGTAGATAATTAAAAAATAAAAAAATATATGCTAAAAATAACATAAAAAATTCTATAAAATCAGTAATAAAAAATAATTCTATTTTATAAAGGGATGAAAATGTATGAAAGTGTAACTATTTCATTAGATTTTGCAGGATATTTCTTTCAAGATTGAGTTATTTCTATACGTATTCTAAAGACATACATCGATATTTTATGTTAGTATGGTAATTTACATTGATAAAAAATGCCTGTGGAAAGTTTTTAATTAAATTAATACAGAGTATTTTGTGTAAGTGTGAATCCTTAAAATCTCAATGCATTTTTTTTGGTAGAACTTGTTTCTTTCAAGCTGCAGCTGCTCCAGGAGTCCATGACAACTTCATCTGTTTCCTCTTGCACACTCGCCGAAGCTCTTGGCCCCATCTGCTGAAACGCGTCCCTGTCCTTGACCGTCTTCATCGACGACTTGCTTCATCGTCCAATTAATCGCCGCCGCCGCCGCTGATGAATTCGACATCATACCGATCGCTTCAAGTGTTTCCCACTGCCTCGCCAGAGAGGTATCTCTAAAATCTACTCCAAAGGAAAGAGGTCTAAAACCCCCAAAAACACCTCAATGGTTTGGTGTTTGATCTGAAATTCTGAATATGATATCTATGGAGTATTATATTTTTGCGATCTGAACAACATGAGTAGTCGATTTGACCCGACCCGGCACACGCCCAACCCTAGACACGATGGCTTTTAGTGTTGCCCATAGGACAAATGCTACCCAAAGGCCAAATATGATTCGGCATCTATAAAAGTCGAATACTGTACCAAATAATGCAATACTCCGTATTATACTTTATATAGAGAGTGCATTCTTCTATCATTTCGTGGGAAATAGATGTCTCTTCTGAGCAAAGTTCATGGTATTTCTTCATCTTCAAATGCCGGATTGAGAAAATTTGAATCTTTTAAACTGAAGAGGGTTCGCTCAATCCACTATGCATCCCATTCTAATTCCCCATTCATTGAGTGGCATTCAGTGGAGAGGTACAAGAGAGACAACTGGATATACAAGAGTGAATTGCAGCAGCCTCCTTCGCACCCGCTCCCAGCTGACCCTAGCTTTGTGAGGGACTATGACATTGCCCAGCAGCTTCCTGAGCTCAAGAAGTTGCTTCAGGTGTTGAAAGAGAAGCGCAGGGAGAGTTATGACTCCGGGAAGAGAGGTCCCGGGAATGTGTTTTTGGTGGGGACTGGACCGGGGGACCCGGAACTGTTGACTCTCCGGGCATTGAGAGTGATTCAGAGTGCTGATTTGGTGTTGTATGATAGATTGGTCTCCAATGATGTTCTCAATCTAGTGGGTCCTGATGTTAGGCTTCTCTATGTTGGCAAAACTGCTGGGTACCATAGCAGAACACAGGTTAGCTTCAGAAAATGTTTCAGCTCTGCTTTGGAAAGTTTTTGCAATTCTTAATTGATTTCTCCCTTACACATATTGAAATGGATTTGTTATGAAACTGATATTATTATGAACTTGGGTTTTGGTTAATTGAGTGTAGGAATTTAAGACCATGTCCAGAAAATAGTCTCAATAAACTAGGAGCCAACATTTTCTATTTTGACATTTTGCAGGAAGAAATTCATGAGTTGCTTCTTAGTTTTGCTGAAGTTGGGGCCACTGTTGTCCGTCTGAAAGGAGGAGATCCTTTGGTGTGCAATTTTATTAGCCTTGGACATTTGATCAGTATCAGAGTCTTTTAGTATGTAATTTACATGACTGTTTACATTGTGGTGAATAGGTTTTTGGGCGGGGTGGAGAAGAGATGGACTTTCTACAACAGCAAGGAATTGAAGTGAAAGTTATTCCTGGTATGATACCTTACAATTGTAAAGCAAGTGCTCTCTTTTTGTTTCCAGAAATACTAATGCTCGAGTTGGCAAGCTTGAAATCTTTGGTGAATTAGTAGTTCAATAAAAAACCTTTACACACAACAGTTTATAATGCTCTCTTGAACTCACATTTCCAACTCCAACCCCCTACTCATTGTTTTTTTTCTTTTGCACTTTAAAAGGCAAGGTAGGCGATGCTTAACTACCCTGATTTTAGCCTAGCTGGTTCAAAAATTGGCCTAGGGGGTCCTAAGCAGGGCTAGGCTGGTCCCATTGTAGCTAAAATCACATCTTTATATTTTAGACAATAACAAGTCAATCATAGTCATATACTCCCTTTGTCCCACTGTATTCATCGAGTTTGACTTTTTTGAGTCAAACAGGATGAACTTTAAGCATCAATTACCCATTTACTCTTAGGGGGCGTTTGGTTCATGCTGAGGAAAGGGAAAGGAAACAGGAAAGGGAATCAAGGGGAAAGGGAATGATTACCCCTGAATTACTCTGTCTGTTTGGTTCAGTGCAGGAAAGGGAATAGAATTCCCTTTGTTTGTGTTTGGTTCAAAACAGGGGAATCAAATTTTTTTACACAACTATGATCAATTTGTTTAAAATAATACGGAATACTTATTTATTTTATCAAAGATACAATTAAACAAAATTCACACATAACAACATACTTTCAAGATGATACGTTCATTTCAAAAAACATTGCTCGTCTAAAACTTCAAAAACACAACAAAAAATCACAAATTTTTAGAGTCTACGAGATCTAGTTCTCCAAGTGTTGAACATGTTCTGAGCCAATGTATTTCGAAAATTAATCCATGGATTTGATGTATCAATTGAGCTTATGTACTCGACTTCATCATCACTATCTCCATCATCACTATCTCCATCATCATGTTCAAATATCTCTTCATCATCACCAGGTCGAGATGGCATGTATCTTGTAATCAAGTTATGTAATAAAGCACAAGCCAAAACAATGCGACTATGTGTTTGTAGGTTAAACCAAGTAGGGCTTCTAAGAATACCCCAACACCCTTTCAGTAACCCAAAACATCGTTCTATCACATTTCTAGCCGATGCATGCTTTAAGTTGAAGTACTCTTCCGCGCTTTGTGGATGATGGGTAGCATTGTTCCACTCTCTAAGATGGTAAATATGTCCTCTATATGGCGTAAGGAACCCTTCTCCATTAGCGTAGCCAGCATCACATAGATAGTAATAACCTTAACACAGAAAAAATATTAGGTTTAGATACATTATTTAAGGATCCCTAAAACAAAAGACATGTTTACTTGTGAGGTTACCTCTTGGGACTTTAAAACCATTAGGTCTAGATAGGGAATCACGGAGAACTCGACCATCGTGGGCTGATCCTTCCCAACCAGGCAACACATAGATAAATTCCATATTTGGTGAGCAAACTCCTAAAACATTCATCGCAGTGACTCCTTTCCTTGTTCGATATTTTGATCGGTTTGCTGCGGGGGGATTCACACTAATCATTGTACCGTCAAGTGCACCTAAGCAATTCTACAAAACACATATATCACAATTAGACTCTAAAACAACTTCATTCTTTGTAAATAACAACTTAACACCTGAACATGCATGAAATTGTACCTTTATTGGAGTGTTTCCACCTTAGTACCTTGAAGTGTTTCCACCTTTCATCGTTGCAGTCTTCCGTTATTGGAGAAGGCTTCTTAAGAAGCACAAAATGCAACTTTAAAACTGCCTTTAAACATGCATGAAATTGTCTACTTATAGTTTCACCACTTCTATAAAAATATCCCCCAATCGTTCTATTCTTCTGATGGTGCGCCAATGTGTATAAAAAACTTGTTAAAATCTCTTCCACACACATATTCCTTGACTGAGTCAACCCACCTATATCTCTTACCATCTCACATAAAATGACAAATGTTTGTCGGTTCATCCGAAGAAAGTTTCTGCACACCACATCATCATCTCTAATGATTCTATTCAAGTTACGCATTCTCATTTCTCTTCTAGAGTTTTTATCTTCTTGAATCGCTCGATATCGACGCAAAGTTTTACTCAGTGAATACCACATCATACAACATAAAACTACACAGTTAATCATCAAGAACAAGAAGCTATGAAACTTCAATTTTCTTTGACTCCTCTTTCTCAAAGAGAGACCAGATCGAACCATTCCTGTTCAAATTTTTTTAAAAAAA